TGCCCAGAGTGAAGATTTAGTCGCATATGCGAGTGATTTACTCGCAATGTAGAGGGTTGATATATATGTATGTGTGTGTGTGTGTGTGTGTGTGTGTGTGTTTGGTTATATATATATATATTACATGTCAATACGTTTTATCATTTTTCTTTTAATAAAAATAAAATTATAGTAAAATATAATAATATAATTTAATATAATAATTTGATATAATATAATATAATATTTTTTATCATTTATACACACATACATACATACATACATTATATATTAGATTAAATGTAGTGCAATATAAATATTTGTAAATAAATATAATTTAATAAAATCACTTTAATTCAAAATAAATGTGAAAAAGTAAAGCACTCCTAAGGTCATCTGTGTCTAATTGCCATGAAAATTCTGTCACAATGCAAAAAAGCTTTAATGCTCCTACAATACGCTTCATTTAATTAATGCAAAATATAATATAAGGTTAAGCTTGACCTGAACATGTTTTCATAAATTTCACCCTAACTACACAACCAGGTCTTCCAACCATAGAGGAGAGTCAGGTTACATACCAGCTCTTCCTGCAGTTAGATAACACCAAAAAGCTATAAATGGCCCTTTTTTGAAAATATATGTTTATTTCTTTGACATTGTTTTTTACGTCATTTACACTTGTTTTGGCTTCTCGTCCTAAACGCAGTGTTAAGTCAGTTTGTATAGCACATATGAAATTGTAAAACCACAAAACCTGATGGACTCACTCAGGAATGTGAAGTATGCGGGCCAAAGGAAACCAAGAGCAGCCAAAGGGGAGATGATGAAATGTAATATCCCCTCGCTTAAAAACCAGAGCATTGTGCACGTTACATAGTGCCTGTAAATGCATGCATGCATGCTTAACATGCAATATGCATTAGTATTTGAGCGAATAGTCTGTTTTGTGATGTTTTTGAGTGTTGTTTGTGTGTACGTCCCCCCTCTAAACAGAGCCCAGTGGTTTCTTCTATAGTGGGAGGTGTAGTTCTGTGGAGAAGTCACTGCAGATCAATGAACTGAGCGAAACAGACAGGCTGGGCAAGCCGACTACAGCGAGTGTCCGTGGGATATATGCTGCTCACCCTTCTGCAACACCTATTATTTCTCCCCCGCAACGATTCGGTCTTAAAGATACGTCAAAGTGAGACTCTATGACAGCGCTGCTCGCTCTCTATGGTTTATAGAGCCACAGATACAACTTTACCCTCCTGGATACACGAGAACGTACGAGATAAAAGCATTTGGTAGAAATTTATTCATCTGTCGGTGGATATTCGGTTGTTGAGGATGATTTTTGCAAATTCTGGCCACACAGTGAGGACGTTGCATAACCGTAAACAGGTAAAACCGTCTTTGACTTTAATTGTGGCCCTCATGGATATTTGTTGTCTAAATTGGAAGTCATAATTCAGAATGATCTGTGCTAATGTGTTTGTGGAAACTATTATTTGCACTTTCTTGTAATAATAACAGTAAATGGAACGTTCCAGTGATGATCGACGGATGAAAGACTACTTGTGTCCAAAAGCAGCACTTCCATGAAACTAATCCTTAAAGAATAGCTGTCATTGGTTCCCTTCCAATCAAATGCTCCCCTCCGATGGGTGTGTTTTTGTTGTGCTAGCGTTTCATTTTGTTGTGTTATGGCACCGGCACTCATTCAAATTTTATCACACCTTTCCCCCCTCCCGATCAAACCCGTCCCACCAGTTTAAAAATAGGCCTCTGTTTGATCAGGTTGTTACGAGTCTCATGCACGTCACTGCATTTTCCTCTGATGGGAAAATACATTCACAGCCCTGCCTCTCTGTTCTTCTGATGGAGTGTTCGGTTTCAGTGGTTAATCTACTTTACTGTGCTGTAATGGTCAAAAGTCACAGCGCTGAATTAATGCGCCCTCTCATATGACACTCTTCATTAAAGCCTTCTCTAATCTCACTCCATGCATGCATTTCACATGCGCTACCTGCAGAAACATTTGCTGGAAATGTTTTCATCCATCAGTTGCTGAGGATGATCTTTTTGAATGTTGCGTGAGAATGTTGCATAATCATACCCAGGTGAAAATCATATTTGACTTTAATTGTGGCCCTCATGGTTATTTGCTCTTTACAGTGTGGTAATGCAGTCTTTTGGTTGAAAGCTATAATCGAACGTGTCCAAGTCATATTTCAGTCTTATTTTTAGATTTTGCATTAAGAAAATTTTAATGAGAATGTACGATATAGAAACAGTTGGTGAAAGATTATTCATCCATCGGTTGTTGTGGATAATTTTTGCTAATTCTGGCAGCGCAGTGAGAACGTTGCATAATTGTAAACGGGTAAAAATCTTATTTGACTTTGCCTGTGGTTCTCATGGTTATTTGTGCAGTTATAAATCATGTAAAAGAACACATCAAGTTGTATTTCAGCCTTTTTTGCATATAGAAAATTACAGATTTTAATGATGAGAACATACAAGATGGAAACATTTGGTGGAAATTTATTCAACCGCCTGGATGATTTTTCCAAATTCTGGCCAAATAGTGAGAACGTTACATAATTGTAAACTGGTAAAAATCATCATTCCAAAGTCATTTTATTTTTAGATTGTGCATAAAGAAAACGACAAGTTGTAATGACGAGAACGTACAAGATTCATTCATATGTTATGGATGATTTTTTTTGCCAATTCTGGGCACACAGTGAGGATGTTGCATAATTGTAAACGGGTAAAAATCATAATTTGACTTTAATTGTGACCCCCATGGTTATATGTTTGGTTTTAAAGTCTTTCGCGTGAAACCTGTAAGCGAACATGCCAAAGTCACACTTCAGCCATATTTTTAGATTTTGCATAAAGAAAGTGACAAATTTTCATGACAATTATGCACATTTCCCTCTCAAATTCTCATTACTTTAATGCCAAAAAGCAATGACATTTATATTTGATGCTAGCATTTGTTTTTTCCCACAATAATGCATTAAAACATTAACATAGAATTTATATATCACACATAAGAATAATAGGAATTATAAAGGAGCTGCAAAGTAGTGTCTGCATTCAATGATTTTAATGCAGTATTTTTTTAATATGATTTTGGGGTCAGATATGACCTGCTGGTGTTTCCACGCGACTCTTTTACAGGTGACTCTGAGGTTGGTTTAGACGGGTTTAGGTGACCTTGTCATATCAGCGCATCATGATGGGATTAGATAGTGTCGCTGTTTCGACCTGCAGCATCTGCGAAAGCCTTGATGATCAGCGTGTTCCGAATGGCACGCTTATAGCGCGTCACCTAATGATGAAATTTGATTTATCAGCAGCATGCTAAGAGATTGACTTCTTGATAGAAGAGGAAGGCGAGGGGGGTGGAAGAGAAAGAGGAAGGGTTTGGTATAGAGAATTCTCAAGAGAATTATGCATATATTCATAGGACGTTTAGCAGCATCTCTCACAGGGTGAGGGCGTTTACTGGAAGTTCAGTGTATTTCCAGCACGGATATGATGGGCTGACTAGGTCTGCGGTGCTCTGATAAGAAGCCAGTCTCTCCCCGCAGAGCTGAATAGTCAAACAGATGCGAGATACAAACAGGCTTTGAGTTCCTGGGAAAAGCCCATTCCACTCTGGGAATGTATGGGTTTCAGTCGGGGCAGAGGGGAAACACTGGCTTCTCGTCCTCAAAGATGTTCTTTGTCCACTTGTAGGCCGTGTTTGTGCCTCATTTCCTGTTTGCACGGCTGTTTCTCCAATGCAAAGATCAGATGAGCTGTCTTGTTTTGTTTTTGAGGTCTGTCCTGAAGTCGAAAAACAGACTTGCTGTTTTCTTGGAAAGTGCATGTTGTTCAATATAATGAATGTTTATGCGTTTGAAATAAATGGAAATGTTGCACAGCTTTTGTTCTGATTGGAAAAATTCAACAAAATAATCTCATGTGGCATGAAGTGCAGTTTGGGATGTCCAAATGTGATGCCTTTAAACTATTCATTTTGTGAGCGTTTAAAGAGATTAGCACGCTTCAAGGACTTCCCGCTTGACCGGCAACGTGACTAACTGTGCCGTTTTCCAGCGTATCCTCTCAGAACACTTGACTAATAGCATTCATTGTGCTTTACAGGATGACGAGTTTATTTTCATCTAAAATAGAAATCAGGGGCGTTTTCTCCGAGGACAGGGAGGCAGTGACTTCTCAGAAAAAAATCGGATGAGAATGTGATCTCCAGAATGATGGAGGGAAATCATTAAGCACCCAGTACTATGCATTTATTAACGTTTATATTAACATACGGATTATTAAAACCAAGTCATGTCAAATGCTCCAAAAAAGAAACTACAATAATGCAGTAAAAAGTAGTACACGAATAAAGCAAAACCAATATTTCGATTTGCCTTCTTTAGCTCGTTATGTTCACATTAGCGTGAGAGAATGTAATTAGTGTGGTGTGAATGGAGGAATACAGGCTAAAAGTGACCGAATGTGCTTGTTACTGCATTCTTGTATTAAATTCTTTTGAAGCAATGCAAGAAGTGCATAAAAACTCGAAGAAATCTTGATTAACTTTGATCCTAGCAAACAGGGAATGTTCTCCGAATGTTCTAGCAAGGTTCTCTCAAAGTTATGAAGAAACGTTCTTAAGTAGCATGAATAGAATGTTTGTTCAAAGGTCTTTAATAATGTTCTCAAAAAATGAGCACAAATTGTTATTTATATATCATGAATGGAATGTTTTTTTCTAATCATTTGTGACCCTGGAGCACAAAACCAGTCATAAGGGTCAATTTTTTGAGATTTAAATAAGCTTTCCATTGATGTATGGTTTGTTAGGATAGGATAATATTTGTTCGAGATACAACTATTTGAAAATCTGGAATCTGATGGTGCAAAAAAAAATCTAAATATTGAGAAAATCGCCTTTAAAGTTGTCTAAATGAAGTTCTTAGCAAAGCATTTTACTAATCAAAAATGAAGTTTTAATATATTTACAGTAGGAAATTTACAAAATATCTTCATGGAACATGATCTTTACTTAATATCCTAATGATTTTTGGCATAAAAGAAAAATCGATAAGTTTGACCCATACAATGTATTTTTGGCTATTGCTACAAATATACCCCAGCGATTTAAGACTGGTTTTGTGCTGCAGGGTCACATTTTAGTTTTTGTGTTTTTTAAATGTTACTACTTGTTTCAGAACATTCCGAGAACGTTCAAAAGTAACATTAGCAGAATGATAGTGATGGAATGTTCCCTTATGTTAGTGCTGGGCGGTATGACCAAAAATTTATATCACTGTATTTTTCAAAATTATACCGGTTTCACGGTACATGACGGTATTTTTTTTTCATGCATGACCGGGTGTTAACCATATTTTCTACTGACTGAGAGAGGAAATACTGCAGTATATTGACTTAGAATGCCCTATTTTACTGTCATGATGAGTGAATATTGTCAAAATCACCACAGTGCAACAGTGAAAAGGGACCCCTTTCAAACAGTGTCGCGTTCCGAACGTTGTTTAAGCGACATGCTTGTATTGCGGTATTTTAAAAATTCATATCATAACAAAAATAAACACCGGTATTCGGTATGAACCGGTATACCGCCCAGCACTACCTTATGTTATGTGAAACGTTTTTAAAACATTAAAAAAAAGACATTTTCAGGAAACATTGCAGAAATGGCTTTCAGAAACAGCTGGGATGTAACTTAATCATGGATTAAAATGCATAGTATGGGTTGCTTTTTAAATGTGTAAAGTTGTTCCTTATGCCTTTAAACCAGAAGCCATGTCAAACCATGAGACTTTGCTGTCTAATTTCAGAAGTCACCACACATAACTGATAGAGGCCTTTATCACCCTGTTAAATGTTTAGTATCAGCACAGTGTTGGGGGAATCCATATCAAGGCAGATTTAGTGACCTTTAATAATCCACCGCTGCCTTTTTAAACTCAAGCTTGTCTTATTTATCCAGTTGTGTGTTCACGTCTTTACGCAGCTGCATTGGACAATAGCAGAAAGAGCAGCCAAAGGGTTTCCAGGCCATTTCAATAGGACATTGACTCTGTTCTGACCCATAAATACTGTCTTTGTTGTGTAGACCTTTAATGAAATTATATTTTGTTCAGCACTACTGGATTTCATGGAGCTCAGGTCTGTGGTTTTCAGCACCTGCCAATCTTGAGCATTTTCACTGCTGTCTCTGATTTTGTATGGGAATTAAAGCGATCGTTCAGGCTAAAATTAAAAGTAGTCATCACTTACTCTCCCTCATGTCCATCTAAACCTGTATGACTTTCTTTTTTGTGTGAAACATGACAGAAGAATGTCCATGCTTCTGTTTTCTATAATCATGA